AAGAAAATTACTCTGGAGAGAATTCTCGAAAATTTCCTGCCCAAGCCGTTTAGGTAGTTTGTTCGGTCGAGTGGCGCGTTTTAAAATGTGTCATCTAGCATCTAGCTATTGTAAAATTGTCTCTAGTTTTTATCAAATCTATGAATTTTTCGGTATCCTGCATGCCCATTGCATGGTTTCAAAAAACATTCACATTTGCAAAAACTACAGGACTCATGCAAGGCAAATTTCCCGTTCAAGACTGGTGTCAGGCCAATTTCCCTGGGGTTTATCACGTCGACTGAATGACCTCCAAACAGATTTAAAGCCCCTAGACTATCCGATATGGTTCATCATGGCATCTGCCACACGACATCTAAATTTGACTTCTCTGCGACGTGCCCTTGAGAAAGCCTGGGCCGAACGCGATCCCGATGACATGCGTGCCAGAGGCATTCCCCAAGAGACTCAAGGCCTGTATCAAAGAAAAAGAAGGTATACAGTCGAAATTCGATACAACGAATTTGAAATTCTAAAACGTGCCCAAAATTTCTGTGTAGTTGCCCCAGCCAAATGCAATCAGTGGTCGTCCAGGGCAGCAGAAAATTTGCTCTGTATTACGAATTACTTGTGTGCTTTCCCTTGAATTCACTAGACGTGGCTCGACCTATGCACTTTCGCTTGAATGAATAATAAAACTAAGTTTATTGAATACACGTGGGGCAAAGCGTGTGAAAATGTTTCGACCGAGCTCCAAGAAACAATGTTGACTTAGAGACAAAAAGGAATCACTTTGATGAAAATTGTGGAAGTATCTCGAAGAAAAAAGAAAAATTCACAAGGTCAAATGAGAGAAAATTCTGACTGGGGAAAGAAGCGTCCTATTATACGTGAGCACAACATTGGGGATAGGTTACTTTGCGCCAAATCTTTTGCGCAACTGAGTCATTTGCGCAACTAGGTCTTTTGCGCCACTCGGCATAACTTTCTTCTAAGTCGACCAATCTTTATGATTTTAGTGTCATTTTGTTGCACTTCTTGATATCTACAAAATGAAACCAAAATCATGACGATTGGCCCACTGAGAAGAAAGTTATGGCGAGTTGCGCAAATGACCCTGTTGCGCAAATAAAATAGCGAAAATTAGCCTACCTCCGACATTGTTTAAGGTACGGTATTTCTGGTATCTTATTAAACTACGGCAGCTTTTTGGTGACGGCGTCACAAGAACTTTTATAAATTGTGCTTAGTTCTTGAGATAAAGCTCTTTGGCAAAACTTCTGAAGACTTCTTTTGCACTCTTTTGCATTCTTTTGCCCCCAATTTTGCTCCATCCGTTTAGGCTTTTAACAGCTCATTTTGTTGAGCAACTCAACAATTTATGGGTCCAATTAAAGGCCAATTTTTTTGAAATTGCTTTCAGTTTGGCTCAGTAACCCAGTAGCAACTGTCGGCGAAGAAATATGTCGCGTTGGTTTCACTTCACTCTTTCCCTTGGCAATCTATTCCGCGCCCTTGTCTTTTCTTTCACCACTACCGGGCTACGGTGGTGTGATTAACTCGCTCTTCTTTCAACCCCCGACTTACATTTCGATGAGTAACGCAACAACAAAATGTTGTCAAAAGAACTTAAATGCTATTTTATGTATTCTTTTTTTTTAATAAACGATGAAACAACTTTAACCAAAGCTTTTCCCACTAGTTTATTCCACACTGCTCTATTTTCTCAGGGAAATTTAGCAAGATTTGTTTGTTGTTTTTAACGATTAATTCTATTCAATCTGTTTCTCAATTTTGAAGTAATGATATAACAACTTTTGCTTTAGAAATGGCCACCGGAACCGATTCTCAAGGTCGCAAAGTGATCGTGGTCGATAATGGAACCGGAGTAGGTTTTTCAATATAAAATTTTATGGTTTTGGAGCCTATCTCATCGATTTATACAGTTTAAACTTCAGAATAAAGGGCTTTAGTGATAAACAAATTTTTATGATGTTAAGTTTTAAAAGATTTGTTGTCGGTGCTATAATGAAATTGTTTAGTTCGTCAAATGCGGGTACGCGGGCTCAAATTTCCCGGCTCACATTTTCCCGTCGTTGGTCGGCCGTCCCATTGTTCGCTCATCGCAACGAGTTGGAGACACACAAATTAAGGTAGGTATTTTATTAATATTGCAAATAGAGCAAAGGTTTGGGAAGCTGATTAAGATGGCAAATTCTAAATCTATTTGGTAAATCTATACATCAAAACTTTATTTTAAATTTTCTTATTTTAGGACTTGATGGTCGGTGAAGAGGCGTCGAAGCTTCGTCATATGTTGGACATCTCGTACCCGATGGAGAATGGAATCGTGCGGAATTGGGATGACATGGCCCACGTTTGGGACTACACATTTGGCCCTGAAAAACTCGATATTGACCCAAAGGTTTGTTTTAAGCACTAGATTATTTACTAAATACTAGTTTTTCTAAAAAATATAACTCTAGATTGACAGCTAAATAAATCAGAAAACTTTTGTTTCAGGATTGCAAATTATTGCTCACCGAGCCGCCACTGAATCCAAATTCGAATCGGGAGCGAATGTTTCAAGTTCGTTTTTATTCTAATCTTTAATTACTTTTTGATTGTAGGTGATGTTTGAGCAATATGGCTTCCACTCAATCTATGTGGCTGTACAGGTGATTCCTTTACCAAATTTCCCATTTTTATCTTTTGCAGGCCGTGTTGACGCTTTATGCTCAAGGACTTTTAACGGGTGTTGTTGTCGATTCTGGTGATGGAGTTACACACATTTGTCCCGTTTATGAAGGGTTGGTTCTTACTACTTAATCTAAAGGAAAACAATTAACGTTCAATGTTTAAATGTTCAGTGTTGATTAGAAGCTGAAGATGCAACTATCTAGATGAATTTCATTTAGTTTTGCTCTCAATCATCTCACAAGACGACTTGATGTGGCCGGACGGGACATCACTCGATATTTAATTAAGGTAGTGTTAATTTAGTATTTCAAGTGCAACAACTTAGCCATAGCATATCAAGCATGTTTATTTTAGCTACTTCTTCTTCGTGGCTACAACTTCAATCATTCCGCTGATTTTGACACCGTTCGAGAGATGAAGGTTTATATTATTACTTAGGAAAAGAAACGAGTTTGTTTAGGAAAAGCTCTGCTACATGGCCTATGATGTGGAACAAGAGCAAAAGTTGGCTCTTGAGACAACAGTGCTCACTCAACAATACACGGTTTGTGCTAGCTTAAGCTATTAAGCAAAGTCAAATAAGTAAGCGTTGTAATTCACTGTAATACTGCGAAAAGTTTAAATTTTATCGTTCACTAGTAATTTTCCTTGAAACATTTGCAAGTTTTGACCTTTTAAGTTCTTTAACTTGTATTCTTTAGCTTCCCGATGGTCGAATCATTCGAGTTGGAGCCGAGAGATTTGAAGCACCAGAAGTTCTATTCCAGCCGCATCTCATCAACGTTGAGAAGAATGGTCTCTCGGAGCTTCTATTCAATTGTATTCAAGCTGCTGACATTGGTGCCTTGGCGCTTAGTTTATAGTAACTTATGCAATTTTCTAGATACACGACTCGACTTCTACAAGCACATTGTTTTGTCAGGAGGAACGACAATGTATCCGGGGTAAATTTGAATGTTTTGCCAATAAATGTTTTGCAAAATTAATTTGAATGCTTTTATTTTACTTTAGACTCCCATCACGATTGGAACGTGAATTGAAGCAACTGTATCTTGATCGGGTACTCCACGGAAATGTTGAACAATTTAAGGTTTTACAAGGAGTGCAATCTTATTCTAGTTTTGAACTTCTAGAAATTCAAAATCCGGATAGAAGCCCCGCCTCGACGCAAGCATATGGTTTTCATGGGTGGAGCTGTATTGGCGAACTTGATGAGAGATCGTGATCAGGTTAGATATTCAGATAAGAAACTGGCATAAAACTATCTATTGCCGATAAGCCGCTTAAGCAGCATAATCGAAACTAAAAGACGTTGAACGAATAGAGGTCATCGTGGTTTTCCAATCGTTATTCTACCGTTTTTCTTTAGGACTTCTGGGTATCAAAGCGTGAATACGACGAAGAAGGCCTAGCTAGATGCATGAAGAAACTCGGAATCAAGGTGTAAACCAATCAATCACCCTTCAACAATGAAATATCCTTTCTACAAAATGATCTTCTTTTTGCTTCAGCTTTATATTTATTTGAGTGCCCAATGAGAATCCGCTAATCATTTCTCTTGCACATACGTGTGTGAATCAGTTCTGACTTCATCTAATTGGTTGTGCTTTTGTCACCATCTGCCTTTGACATGCTTGTAAATTCTCTAATTTATGTTTGTAAAATAAATTATTCTTAATTAACTGTTTGCATGGTTGGGAAAAACTGTTAACTGGTTGGGAAAAAGACAATAATATCTCCTTGATATAGATAAACAAGGAGTCAAGAAACAAAACATGCGCATAAACGTCAAAATTTACACTTTAGTACCTACTTAGTTAGCGTTTGTTTGTGAGCACAAAGTACGTCCAGAGAACTTAAGCGAAGTGTGTTTTTGAGCTTTCAATTTGGAGCTGCATGAAGGAGATTGTCGATTGGTAAGGATAGAATCACTTTTCTAGGAAAAAGCCGATCGAAAATTTCAAAATCTCGCAATTTGAAGGCAATCAATGCCTTAAAAGTTAAAAGTCTTGTACTAAAAAGATTGTAGACTTTTTTTTACGGCACCTTAGCCGGCTCTCTGAAAGAAATTTATCCAAATTTATCCAAATTTTGAGCTCAACCCATGTGATAGCCTATAAAATTTATCCTCCAAAAGAACACACAAACAAAATGAATCAAACAATTGCACCAAGGATAAGCAAATTTCTGAAAAACCCGTCTTTATGGGGGAAAAGATCGCAAGACTATCGGAGAAAAGAAAAGAAAAGAAAATTTCAACAACAAAAAAAGTATTATACAAGTGTTGAAATATTTTCAAAAACAAGCTAAACATTTAGTCATTGAACGGTGGCAAAACGCAACAATTTTCGTCGAGATGATGTCCGCCGAGCGTCGGAGTTTTCGTCTGAAAATTTGGCTTTCATAATATATTTCGCTTTAACATTGACCGGCTTTGGTGGTTTTTTTTTGATTGTATTAAAGTTCAGCTTTTCAAATTTCATAAGTAAGCTTAAAAAAAAGAAAACTCACCCTCAAGAATGCTAATTTTCAAGAATTTCATAGCATTCATAAGCAGAATTTCATAGCATTCATAACCAGAATTGCATAGCTTTTTAGGTCTATCTATGGACAATATGATTTCGCTGAAAAGATTTCTATTCAGCGTGTCCAAGCTGTACGTTTTGTAGACCGTAAATACTCTAATAGAACACCACCCCATCGTACAGTCGCGTAGTTTAACTTCTTTTTAGAAAACCATTTTTTTTCTCATCCCCTACTTTTCTCAATTATATTTTTGATACCAAAAATACTGGATTTCAAGCGCTATCATTTATAGAGTGCATTCCTCGCGAGTAAGTAATTACTCGAGTAAATTTGCATGAGTAATTGTCGTTTTCTAAAAAGTGCGCCTGCGCGAAAAAAATATCAAAACAATTTTTTGCCCAGTTTTTTCAAAAAAAATCTTTTTTGGAATCATTGGAAGGGAATTTCCCACCAATTTTAAAGATACTCAGTTAAACGGAAAACTTTTTGGAAGAACTTTTTTTTTTTTGGAAAACTTCCGAAAAACACTTCTTGATGATTATTATAGTGTTTTTAAAGCAGTAATTAGCTATTTATTAGTTAGCTATTTATTTATTAGTTTTACTATTTATTCTACTATGTATTTGTTAGTTAGTTAGTTATCTTATAGATAAATAGCTAACTAATAAATACCTATTTATCTATAAGTTTGCCAAAAATTGCCGAAACTTTGTGCTGTGCTTTTATTAGAATTACGGTATTTATTGACAAATGCTAAATGTGCAATGTCATCAGCTTTACCCTGGTTCTAATTTGGCAATCAATATGATAGAATTGCGCGTTTCACAAACCTTGACAAATCTCCTCTTCTATGCGGACGTCACTGTGCGAGCTCGTTTGTCGACACAGCGGTTGTCGCAAATTTTGCAACTGTGCGAATTTCTCCACATTCGATTTGCGGCGTCGGTTTTCAACCTGGAATTTTTGAAAGTTGACTTTTAGTTTTAGCTTAGTTCAGACTAAAGTTTAGTTATAATTGAAATTGGTTTACAAAACGATTACAAAACGAGCCGGAGCTAAAAAACTCTTGATTTTGTTGGCATAATAACAAATATCCTTTATTCTTTAGTTTCAAAAGTTTCAAATTACCACTCTCTATGATTTCTATGATCTAATTTACTGATTTCTATGATTTCTCATTGAAAACTGTACCTCATCCGGCAAAACCGACAGCTCAAGGGCTTTCTGAGCAGCCAACGCGGTCGTCAGCGCGACTCCGTTGATCTGAATGGGTTTTGTTTTTTGATTTTACAGTATTTACGGTAGGTTCTTTATCCACTTTGTAACTTCTTTATCCTTTGATCTTTGATCTTTGATCTTTATCCATTTCCCCCACCTGTTTCCTCTTTTCCAATCCCAACCAATGTTTGATAATGGCTCGATATTTTGAAGAGAAAATCATGTAGACAAAAATTGATGAGGAAGAATTTAGAGAAATCAAGATATTCGCGATCTCGACTGACATCTCGAAGACGCCTTGCTAAATGCATTGCTTGGTTATTGGAATTGTTGGAAACTTGATATGACTCTTTTATTAGGTTGGTGAATTGAAAACTGCGGGACTTCGAACTAAAATTTATTCAACATAACTTTTCTCTAAATCAATTCATTCCAAATAATTTCCATTATTATTGACGAATTCTGCCCATTTTACAGGCAATTTTTGGATTCCTCTTTCGTAGTAGGATTTTGGTTTGTGTGTGAGACTCAAAAATGGAGGACTGGAGATGTCATATGTCCTAGTTTGAGCACTTTCTTCAAAAGAAACCCATTTTGGTGTCAATAGAAAAGTTGTAGAGAATCAAAAATTAGGCTTATAGCCAAATTTCCAAAAAGATACACTTAGTAGTTTCGCTTAAAATGCAAGTTTTGTGAAAATTCGTAAATTTGGCATTTCTTGAAAACCAGTTTTTGAATCGTTCTGAACATTTGGATATAAGCTTGATTTTTGATTCGCTACAACTTTTCCATTGACACCAAAATGGGTTTCTTTTGAAGAAAGTGCTCAAACTGTCACATTTGACAATAGCCGGCAGTTTTCAATTCACCAACCCAATAAATTAAAAAAGTAATTAAACAAATTGGGTTTAATTTCATTTTACTTTAAATCAATTTAAAGGAATTCTCTCTTGAAATAATAAAATTCTGGCGACAGATGCCTTTCGGACCGTCCACCGTACACTTTGCCTTTCAGACGTTTCCGCGCCAAACGTCGGAAACTACCGTAACCCGACGCAATAAAAGGCCCCCACCACAAAGAATTTTCAGTCTTTCGTCGTGTTTTATTTTTTCAGTCTTTTTTTTTCTTCTTTTTTTTCCATTGACACCAAAATGGGTTTCTGTTGAAGAAAGTTCTCAAACTGTCACGTATGACAATAGCCCGCAGTTTTCAATTCACCAACCCAATAGTTGAATTTAAGTTGAAAATTTTGTGAATTTTGTAAGAACAGGGATGAGTGACGAACAGGCTTTGAATAGGCGTTAACAGCTTTTTAACCGACAATTTTTTGCCAAACAAAATAGGTATCTCACCCGAATACTGATGAAACCCTCTCTTTGCAAGATGTCGATTAAATTGTTGCAGAAAGCCAAACAATTGCAGAACAAGAAAATCGCGACAATCGCTAGCAACATCAACGTGACGGATCGATCGCGGACACTGTTGCTGTTCGTCTTCAGGAAAGATGGGGACCGGAAATTTCTGGAATAAGAAATTCGGAAAGCTTGTTTGCAAGTCTTAAAACTCAGATTTGCTTTAACATTGAGATCTGACAAGGGAAAGGCACCAGCAGTTGGCCTTTTGACTCAGCCTTTTGAGTCTTTTGGATCTTTTGACCAAGTCCACCTTATAGAGTCGGCCATGAGGTTCTTGTAGTTTTCGAATCTTGTAGTTTTTGCAGAAAAATCGCGAGATATCTAGATTTCGGACTCGTTAAGAAGCCGTGATTTTTGATGCCAAATATCTATGAGAAGCGTTCTGCAAAAACTATTGGGTTGATGCATAATTATCCGGACTTCTTTTTTGCGTGCTTGTATCTTTTTTGTTTTGAAAGCTTTTTGTCTATTTCTTTTTTTTAAATATTCGTTATTCTTTAGTGAACAAAATGCGTGTCGACAATCATATCCATCTTCGCCATATCATGCTCTACCACTTCGAAAAGGGATGGTCTGCCGCAGAGTCGTTTCGCGATCTCAAAGAACTTTTTGGTCAAGGAACAATTGGACGTGCAACAGTTTATGAATGGTTCGATCGTTTCAAGTCCGGTAACACAAGTGTTGATGAGTTTTGAGGTTCTTGAACAACAGCCATGATTCATCGCCTGTGACGAGATTCTTCAAAAACGGTGCTTCCTCGTTTCGTTGCAACAAATCGGTGAAAATTCGAAGGCGATCTGCTTGGTTCTTCTCGGAGAGTTCGTGTGGGACCCATCCAGCCAATTTCCATACTTTGCCAAGCTTTTTGAGATGGCGCACGATCGTTGGCTGGTCAACATTGAATTCATCTGCCAGCATTCTGGTTGTCAGGCTTTCGTCTTCTTCAACGGCTTCCAGAAGTGCCTTGTCATCGAATTCTGATGGCCGTCCTCTTCCTGGTTCATCATCAACACTTGTGTTACCGGACTTGAAACGATCGAACCATTCATAAACTGTTGCACGTCCAATTGTTCCTTGACCTTTTCGAAGTGGTAGAGCATGATATGGCGAAGATGGATATGATTGTCGACACGCATTTTGTTCACTAAAGAATAACGAATATTTAAAAAAAAGAAATAGACAAAAAGCTTTCAAAACAAAAAAGATACAAGCACGTAAAAAGAAGTCCGGATAATTATGCATCAACCCAATAAAAATGGATTCGAATGACGATCATGATCGATTCTATCAGATGATCTCAAGTCTCAGATCTCAAAAGCCCAGCTTTCCCTTGTCAGATTTGTACTTTTACAAACATTCAGCTTCGTTAAAGTTAGTAGTGTTCGTTAAGTTAAAGTTTCTTATGCGAAAGGTAACGAGATTTTATTGAAATATTGGAGTTCTTTTTTTGAATAGATGAAATAAAGCAATGAAAAACTTGATGGATCAAAGTACTTCTAGGTAAACGACTCAAAATACTTCTGAAAGTCGTATAGTACTTTGATTTTGCGTTTAGTTTTGTTTGAGTTTTGATTTTGATCGATTTTGAAGTCTCCTTTTTGATTGTAAACTCACTGAATGCCTGTCATTCGAGTCAATGTCTGAAAGAGATCCGCGTATTTCGAGTTTTTCAACATCCGAAACTGATTCATCACCATACTTCGACTAAAAAACGAAAAAAAAAATTAGCAAATAAAGTTTCATAGCAAATTGAAAAGCTTCTGGCATTCAGAAAAGATCATCGCTTCTGGCACAATCAAATCTTCATTACCCTAAAGTCTCGAGTATAAGTTCATCCGAGTATAAGTTCTGCCTTAATTTACATTCGCTTTAATTGCTTTGAATTTCTTTTTGTTGGGTTTTTATACATTTTTATTGTTATATAAACTTTTATTAAGTTCTTAACTTTTATTGTTCTTGGAGCGCGGGATACTACAGGGTGACAGCCTATCACCATTGTTTGTGACAACCTATCACCATTGTTATGTGCATGGATACATCCAGACGATAGTGTTGAAGAAGACGCTGGAAAGCATCTCTTTCGACCGTCGACGTGGACTTTGGCCGGATGAAGAGGCCAGGGAGGGATCCATAAGACTGAGCACCGGAGAGGAGCAGGGCGGACGCGCCGAGCCACGCCCGGAGCAACAAATAACAGCATAAAATTGCTATAACCTTGCTATAACCCTCAATAAATTTACTTCTATTATTGTTCTTAAAAAGCAAAAAGTTATGCTGCAGCGGGGTTCGAACCCTCGACACACCGCACCGGAGACAGCCGTCAATTTGCATGCGAAAACCAAACACAACTTATACTCGCGACTTTAGGGTATTTTCATTCTTTTTTCGCGTACTACAATCGATTTCACATAAGAAATATGAGAAATGAATGCACCAGAAAGAGTGCGTTTCAAATTTGAGCAAAATAAACCTTTCCTTACCTTGTGGTCGATTTCTTTGACGAGTGCATATTTCGCAAGTGTTTACTTTGCTTCAATGCCACCAAAATTCGGCAATTTACAAAGATGAGCGTCATGAATGGAATGATGAACATCACCATTGTGTAGCCGATCACCTGAATTACGCTCGTAAATACTCTAGTCGAACGGCACGCCTGATAATAATGAATAATAATGGGCGTACAGTCGTGTAGCCTAACTTTGAGCGTCCAATTCTCGGCGTTGGTTTAAGCTATGGTGTGCGCTTGGGTGTCAAACGATAGCCCTTGAAATCTAGTATTTTTTGATACTAAAAGTGTAGTTGGGAAAAATCTAGGGATTGAGAAAAAAATGATTTTCTAAAAGAAGTCAGATTGGATAAGGAGGTGGCGCTCTATTAAAGTATTTACGGTATTAGACTTGTCATTTTTGGTTTCAGAATTTGTCAAATTTGCAAAAATATAAAACTTGTAAAGCGTATTGCTCATTTATGTTAGGTTTTTGAAGAAAAATCGTTTTTATGGTGAAAAAAGTGAGCTGAGAAAGGTAGAAAAGTTAGAAAAGCTAGATACTTTTTCTTTGGTTCCTATATAGTTCCTATTTGGTTACTTTATAGTTCCTATTTAGTTCCTTTATAGTTCCTATTTAGTTCCTATTTGGTTCCTTTAGAGTTCCTATTTGGTTACTGTATAGTTCCTTTATAGTTCCTATTTAATTCCTATTTAGTTCCTATAGAGTTCTTTTTCAAATATCTCTAAAATTTTACGGGAAAGCTGCAATCATTTTTTACGAGTAATTTCATGGAATTGACTTGTAAATGATAGAAAAAAGTGTTCTCGATTGGTGGATTCGTTTTTAAGGAATCCGGTTGAATCGCCAGTTGAAATCCGGGTAACGATTTTCTTGCAAATCTAATTGCAACACCGGATTCTCTCTAATAGTAGTGCACCCCAGCGAGCCGAGTTGGTGACTATTTTACGGTTTCCAAGCTTTTGCAGAAGCTCAACACTCTAATCCCCCACAAGATCTCATCGTCAGCTACATTTTCCGATCCCACATCGATAGGTTCTGATAAGCGGTTCTCTAGATTTCGAGCAATTTAGGCAACGCTCAGGCTGCACTACTATTAGAGAAAATACGGTAGTTATGTTCCAAGCAGGCAGAAAGACAGGCTACAGTCAGCTAGCCAGATCTAGAGTCAGCTCTGACTGACGGACACTCAGGGCTTCCTATCGGCTAGGCTCAGCTTGAACAATCGTGACTGGCTTCCTGATTAGGCAACGCTCAGGGTGCACTACTATTAGAGAGATACGGTATTTTAAGTCGTTTACCTTAGCGATAATGTTGTAGGCACGGTGCTGCTGAAGGGGAGTAAGGCTGAGGAAGCTGAAATGGAAAATTTCAGTGAGAAATGGTTGAATCACAAAATTTTGCTATCTTTTGTTTGTTTGAAGCGTTTGTTTGCTTGTTTGTTCAAAACTGAAGACCCACTTTATTGTTTGACTGAAACTTTTCGCGTAACACGGCACGATCATCAACTCGAACCACGACGGAACGTTGATCAATACCTAGGAATTTAACGGTTGACATTGTTAGATACAGCAATTTTTCAAACCTGATAGTTTCAAGTATCTCAAAACTTTAACTAACTAAAAATAAATAAAAAACAGTTATCTTTTCCTTATCTGGCTGTTTGTTTTGTGAAAGCTCGAGTTGGAACAAGGGCAGATCAAAAACTAATGATCAAAACATTTGTGCGCCGCCGGGACTTGAACCCGCGACCTTTCGCTGACTGGGCAAATTTGCTAAGTATTACATCACAACGCCCTAGGTCTCCTTTACTCCAGAGGAAGTTAATTTCCCGAATCGCTGGACGAGACGGTTCCAATTCGATTTATAGCCCTGGGATGCGCTCAAAACTAGGTATGAACCTTAGCCAACATTGACCTTAGTCAACATTCCAGAGCCCGTCCTTCCGTGGTCATCAGTTGGAACTAGGGGAGATTAAAAACTTATGCGCCGCCGGGACTAGAATCCGTGACCCTCGGTTTACCGGGCAAATGTACTAACCATTACACCACAACGCACTTGACCTCCCTTACTCCAGAAGGGACCTCCCTTACTCCCTTAACTCTCGCATTGTTTTAATTGTTAAGTTAAAATGCTGCACCTTGTTTTAGCGATAGAAAAAGCCATACAATTTCTATAAAAGCTAAAAGATAGGCTTTTAGATAAGCTTTTAGTTCTAAAAGCTATTAGCCTGTGCAGAAATCTTTTCGTTTCTTTTCATACTTTCGTTTAAAACATTCACGTTCGGTTTTTTTGATTTTTGCGTAACTTATTTCCCTTCCAGCTTCTCTAAAAACGTTCACAGACAACCGATTTACTTAAGTTTAAGCTCAAAATGAAGAGAAATGTTTGAGGATTATTTACCTGAAAACAGATTAAAGAAATATTGAATTCGAAAAGAGTTATGAAGCTTTGAATGCAAATTAACCGGTGACCATCAAGGTCACCGATCACCCGGGAAATTCCTCATACTAAAACATTCTGAATTCTCTTTAAGCTCAATATTTCTTTAATCTGTTTTCAGCTAAATGTTCGGTCAATGTTTCTCTTCATTTTGACCTCTAACTTATGTAAATCGGTTGGCTGTGAACTTTTTTAGAAGAGCTGGAAGGGAAATGACTTTTAAGATAGTTTAATAAATACTTTTTTAGCTTAGGTTTAGGCTTAGATCTAAGCCTAAGCCTAATAAATAAAGCCTAAGCCTAGTAAATATAGTATTTATTAGGCTTGAGTCTGAGTCTGAGCCTGAGCCTGAGCCTGAGCCTGAGCCTGAGCCTTTACCGAGAAAAGAATCGATCCAACGATTGCCGTTTTGACGGGACGACCGGAGACCCAACGCTTGGCGCGAAATGGATGACAAACGCCTGGAAATATAGAGATTAAGTTTTTTTGTAGAATTTAGCTTTTTTTTGGTTATCCTTTTCTCACCAAGATATCGATGAACGGAGACGAGCACCGTCAAGTAGACTCCACACGTTTGTGTTGTCAAAGCCAATGGGTAGGCGTGCCTGAAAATGAGGATTTAAAATATAAATTGGGATTTGACAAAGAAGATTTCTCTGGCTTTATAATCGCTTTCTAATTTTCAAAAGGAACTTCAACGGTTTGAAAAGTGAAAAATCTAAGTAATCAAAGTGTTTCAAGAAGGTCCAAGCTTGTGATATTAAAGTTTGAATCGTCAGCCAGATCAGCTTTTTGAAACTAATCGATCAATGATTAGAACATAAAACTTTACAAGTAAAAACAAGCTTTCTTAGAGCCTTTAAAAACCGTCAACAGCCTTCAACAGCTTTCAACAGCCGTCAACAGCCGTCAACAGCCTTCAACAGCTTTCAACAGCTTTCAACAGCCTTCAAGAACCGTCAACAGCCGTCAACAGCTTTCAACAGCTTTCAACAGCTTTCAACAGCTTTCAACAGCTTTCAACAGCTTTCAACAGCCTCCAACAGCCTTCAAGAGCCGTCAACAGCGGTCAGCAGCTTTCAACAGCCTCCAACAGCCTCCAACAGCCTTCAAGAGCCGTCAACAGCCGTCAACAGCCTTCAACAGCTTTCAACAGCTTTCAACAGCTTTCAACAGCCTTCAACAGCCTTCAACAGCTTTCAAGAGCCGTCAACAGCCTTCAACAGCTTTCAACAGCCTTCAACAGCCTTCAACAGCCTTCAAGAGCTTTCAAGAGCTTTCAACAGCTTTCAACAGCCTTCAACAGCTTTCAACAGCCGTCAACAGCCTTCAACAGCCTTCAACAGCTTTCAACAGCTTTCAACAGCCTTCAACAGCTTTCAACAGCCGTCAACAGCTTTCAACAGCCTTCAACAGCCGTCAACAGCTTTCAACAGCCGTCAACCGCCTTCAAGATGCTAGAATTTACAAGGAAAAGCAAGCTTTCTTGTTCCCATCATGTATTTTATCTAGGTTATAAAAGAAACTTTAGATTTACTTCAGATTTTACACCATTTTTCACACTCACCACAATGCCACCGGGTACGCATTGTGTAAATCGACTCGTGTTGACATCATCGCAATGACGGGAAAGATTAAGAAAAAGAAATTGCAAATGAGAAGCAGTAGATCGGAAATCGATAAAGCTAACAAAAAATGGTTGACGAGTTGAACACGCATCTCCACGTCGAGGAAGACAACTGAAAATTCGATCGTTATCGAAATCGAATCAAAATATCGATAAGCTCAAGCCTAGATCTTTTTCTACTGTAAATGAAAGACTTTTAGAAGGATTTTAAAACAAAAACAGCGCTTGCAGAGACAATAAAAGATAAGGTATTGAAGATTTTTTATGGTTTTATTTGGGTGTTCAGAAATTCTTTTCGTTCATCTTTGTACTTCCGTTTAAAACCAACAAATGCATCAATTGAACTACGGTTTATTTCATTAGAAAGCTCAATTATTTCTCTACAAAATAGCATTCTAAAGGGGTTTAAAATGACTTATATCTGGATTTTTTTGGGAGCGGGAAGTCGGGTAGTCAAAAAGGGTGACGACTCGATGATGCGGTTTAGAGATCTAAGGCTTAGAGATCTAAGGCTTAGAGAGCTAAGGCTTAGAGAGCTAAGGCTTAGAGAGCTAAGGCTTAGAGAGCTAAGGCTAAGAGAGATCTAAGGCTTAGAGAGCTAAGGCTTAGAGAGATCTAAGGCTTATAGATCTAAGGCTAAGAGAGATCTAAGGCTTAGAGAGCTAAGGAAATCTATTTTCGTGTCATTAGCTAAAAGATAGTGCATAAAAAGTTAGTTATATAGCCAAATTTTTAGAGAAATTCATTTGCCATTGCCCTTTTTGCCAATTATTTCTCTACAAAATAACATTCAAAAGGGGTTTAAAATGCCTTCTTTAAAAGTCTTAAAATGCCTTCTTTAAAGCCTTAAAATGCTATTCCTTCTTAGCCAACATTTTTGTCGGTGTCGGTCATCTTTTCATTATTCCTATAACTCACCAATATTGATGAGATTTGTGAACATTCCAAAAACGGAGATCGGCATATTTCCCATTAAACGCATGTCGATTTGCTCGTCGGTGAACACATTCTGATCACAGGGCAGCATTCCCTCGTATGTCCCATTATCACTGTGATTCATCTGTAAAAGTTGATCATGATCTTGAAAGGAAGGAAGGAAAGAAGGAAGGAAGGAAGACTTGATCTTGAGTTTAAACGATTTTTAGAATTTTTGGATATGAAGCATGTGTTTCTTTTTAATGTTATGATTGTAGGGGGGGGGGGGGGGGGGGGGGGGGGGAAGGAGGGAAGGAAGAAAAGGAAGGAGAAAAAGGAGGGAGGAAGGGGAAGAGAAGGGAGGGAGGAAGGAAGGAAGGAAAAAACTAATCTAACTTCTGTTAGAGTAGTTACAATTATAAGATTTAGAAAAAGAAACGAGATGCTTGATATAGAAAATTATGGAATGAAATTTGATTAAGATAGTTTAATAATGAGTTTAATAATGTTTAATAACGAAATTGAGTGTTTTACTAATGAGAAACATCACAAAAAAGCACACAAATGAAAAGAAAATGAAAGAAAATGAAAGAAAATGAAAAGAAAATGAAAAGAAAATGAAAGAAAATGAAAGAAATAAAGAAAACCGTGCCTAAGCCGTAAAAGCTGTAATAGTGGTTCTGGGGGCATTATTTTTTCAATAGTACTTTTTGCTATTCACATGACCAAAACTGGAAAATACGAGATAATCTCAGTTTCTATAGTTTTCAAGAAGCTTCCAGAAACAGTTTTCAATTAATTTATTAAAGAAAAGAAGTAAAAATTAACAAAAATCCTCGTAAAACTGTCGAATCAGTGCCTTAAAAGGACCATTCCAAGCCACATCTACACATTGAACAAACTTTTTACTGTCTCTAGGAACTGCAAACTTCGGGGGTCATTATTAGAGGAGGAGCAGCTATTGTTAGAGGCGGGGGTTCATTATTAGAGGGGAAGCTATTGTTAAAGCCCCCCCCCCTTTAACAATAGCTACTATTAGAGTGGGGGGTCATTATTTTTTCTTAAACCCTCTAGAAAGGGTACTATTACAGCTTTTACAGTATATAATTGTTATTGTAGTGAATCGGGGGTTTACACTGCTCAACTATGCCATAAAATCCGATCCAGATGACGCAAAAAGTGAAACCAGTAAATTTTGCGATATGAAAGAGATTAAAAAACTTCGAATCACCAAAAAACACGTAAATATCATTAGAAAATGAATATAAATATAAAAATATATAATCTAGAATATCTTGTAGTCATTGAAAGAATAAACAAAATGCTTAAACGATGCTTTTGATTGAGAATACCGTATTTTCTCTAGTAGTGCACCCCAGAGAGCCGGTTGATGCCTATTTTACGGTTTCCAATTTTTCCCAGAAGCTCAACACTCAAATCCCCCACAAGATCTCATTGTCAGCTACATTTTCCGACCCCACATCGATAAGTTCTGATAAGCGGTTCTCGAGATTTCGAGCAATTTAGGCGACGCTCAGGCTGCACTACTATTAGAGAGAATACGGTAATTATCAGAACTTTTAGGAAACACTTACCTTTGTATAATAATGTTTTTCCTAGACCAAGTAGCTCCGCGTCGCCTAAATTGCTCGAAATCTCGAGAACCGTTTATCAGAACCTATCGATGTGGGGTCGGAAAATGTAGCTGACGATAAGATCTTGTAGGGGATTTGAGTGTTGAGCTTCTGCAAAAGCTTGGAAACCGTAAAATAGTCACCAACTCGGCTCGCCGGGGTGCACTACTATTAGAGAAATACGGTAAAGAAGCTAAACAAGCACTAGCTGTGTGCCTCTTTTCCCTCATTTTCTTTTAATTCAAAACTCATTTAATAAGAGCTTCGTTTATGTACTAAAAGACCTAGAAGCTAAATTTCTATTTTTTCATTTCAAATATCAAACATTCATCCAATTTCCATTCAAATTCAATTCAAATTCAAATCAAATTCAAATCAAATCAAAGATTTTCAATCAAACATTCAAACAAATGTGAATTTTTTGACTTTTTATGAAATTTTGCATTGCATTGCGTGAAATTTCGTAAAATTTCTTTGAATTTAGCTTACAGGAGAGAAAAAAACAGCAAGCAATTACGCTAATTCCTCGAATTTTCAAAATTCAAAGCAAACCCTACAACGATTGAACGATTGAATAGCCAACTTTGCTGAAAAAGACACTGATTCAATTCCTAACTAATCCAAAAGTCAAAACTAAAAAACATAACTCAAAAAGTGATTTTTCTTCCCGGAATTCAGAAATTGCCTATCAGAAATTGCCTATCAGAAACTGCCTATCAGAAATTGCCTATCAGAAATTGCCTATCAGAAATGCCTATTCAGCAAGGTTCTCAGAAATTTTGGTTTCTACAGAACTACAGAAGATTTCTACAGAACAAAATGCTCACAAAAACTGCCAAAGTTGGCCAAATCAATGGCCAACCTCTTTTTTTTTCAACAAATCTCTTCTCAATAATTTTTCAGAGAATTCCTATCAAATATTTGGATATTTGGATATTCAGTTGTATTTCATGAATCAAAGAGATTAGCTAAACAAAAAGAAAAGAATCTTTTTCTTTTTTGCGATTATTTGAAAACGATTATTTTTTTATTTTTTTTTGTGGGAGGACTTGGAATCCCTTCGATTTTTGCGAGGGATTTGTCTGGAAAATCATTTTTTCGAGTGAATTTAATGAGATAAATTGGGATTAGTTTACATTTTCTTCTTTGTTAATGAGATTAAAATAGAAACTTACATTTTTACAAATCTATTCGGCAAATAAAAATGACGTTTTTGAGGCCAAAGGGGAAGCTCTTCACTTTCGGATTGCTAATTCAGTGAATATCTTAAAAGAGAAAAAACGGGGAATTAATTCGGGAATGAATGGGAAATTGGATTGGAAGCGGATTGATTCTGGAAAAATGTAGAGAAAATTGGGATGTTTTTGTTTTGGAAAAAATTTGAGCAAGAACAAGAGGAAGAGCAAGAGAAAGAGCAAGAGCAAGAACAAGAGGAAGAGCAAGAGAAAGAGCAAGAACAAGAGGAAGAGCGAGAGGAAAAGCAAGAGGAAGAGCAAGAGCAAGAGCAAGAGGAAGAGCAAGAGCAAGAGGAAGAGCAAGAGGAAAAGCAAGAGGAAGAGCAAGAGCAAGAGGAAAAGCAAGAGGAAAAGCAAGAGGAAGAGCTTAGTAACTATTAATGTGTAAAAAGACAGAGTTTAAGCCAAGTTAATAGATTAAATAGAATGAGTTTAATGAATCAAAGGTTTAAGAAATGATTTAAAATAACTTTGCAACTTGTTTTTGCAGAGAGAAAGAGATGGGAACTGGTTGAAAATGAAGTGTTGGGAAAAGAGTTCGAAGCGAAGGACCTAATCGAATTTCGCCCTGATGAGTCCCAAAAAATTGAGGGTTCAACCAGATTTTCTGGGAAAAACAAGAGGAAATGCGGGAAATTATGTTTAGAGTTCAAAGAGTAGCCATTTTACATGCTAAGATGTTAGTTTAATAGTTGAATCGACATGAACACTATAAACGATAAAAATGATGACCTGTCACACTGCAAACGCCTCTAACTTCCTTTAAATCTGTTGGATTGAGTTCATCTATAGCTTAAAAAATAGAGAATCTCAAGGGCTTTCGAATGGAGTAAAGTACACAACAAAATATGAATGCTATAGAGAGTTACAGTGGTTTCTAGCCTGACTCGATGCTTTCATTAACTTAAATAAAGAAAAATACGCAAAGATTATGAATTTTTGGTTGAATTTGATCAAAATTGAAAGCATGTCTTTGAGATAGAATGCTTTCACTGAAATTTTTGAATTAAAATAGAAAAGTGTGCTTAAAATTGAAACAAAAGACTTCTTTAAGGCCTTTAAAGCCTTTAAAATGCCTTTAAAGCCTTTAAAATGCCTTTAAGGCCTTTAAAATGCTATTTTTCACACTTTTGCAGAAATTTTTAGCAAAAATCGCACAAAGCAGGAAATTCAGGGAATAGATTTTTGAGAAAACGAGTTAAAAGTTCTGGAAAGTCAGTCTGGAAAGCTAGAAAAATGAAGCTTTTCTTTTAAGCAAATTGAGTTGATTTGAACGTCATTTCTTAGTTTTTTTTGCAAAAACGAACTTTTGATTGGATAGAAATTGGAGAACCTAGCTGCTCAAAATTCAAATCAAAAATGAAATTGAGATTTGGGCTTTTTTCGAAAATTTTTTCGTAAATCTTTATAAACTACTGCTGAACTTTGTGCTCAATAATGTAAAAATCGTTTTTTGGTGCACTGGATTCTTCAATTTTCTCTGAGACTTCTTGAGAAATGTTAAAATTGAGTGCAGTAGAAGTTTTTCAAGTTTTTCTAGAATATGGATTTGCTAGAATAGTTCTAGAAGTTTTAGAAGTTCTAGAAGTTGTAGTTCTAGAATTCCTAGAACTTCTAGAATCCCTAGGACTTCCAGGATTCCTAGAACTTCTAGTTCTAGAATTCCTAGAACAACTTCTAGTTCTAGAATCCCTAGAACTTCTAGAACTTCTAAAACTTCTAGTTCTAGAATTCCTAGAACTTCTAGAACTTCTAAAACTTCTAGTTCTAGAATTCCTAGGACTTCTAGAAACTTCTAAAATGTATTCTTTTTGCAAATTTGAAGTTAAAGAAGTAAATTTAAAGAAGTAAAGTTAAAGTTTCAAAAAGTGATAAGAATTGTAGGAAAATGCAAAAGAAAATAAAAATGATTCACTAATTGAGCGAATCCCTCGACTTAAGAAGAGAAAAAACTGAAGGTGTAGAATTTTGCTTTGAAAGAAATCTTGTTTCTCTTTTTCCCTTTCTTTTCATTTCTAATTTGAAGTACCACCCGGATTGGCACGTAGTTTTTGTGTTTCGAATTAAGATTAGAAAAAGAATCTTTTTTTTTTGATTATGAATTTCCTTGATGAACCGGAAGCCAAAAAAGAAAATAGATGACGAAAGGAATGTTTAACATTTTACAATACCGTATTCTCTCTAATAGTAGTGCACCCAAAGCTTCGCCTAAATTCCTCGAAATCTCGAGAACCGCTTATCAGAACCTATCGATGTGGGGTCGGAAAATGTAGCTG